ACGCTGCACATCTGTTTTCCAAGCCATGAATTACTAACATGGGCATAGGAATATAACTTGATCCATGAACGGGTTTGTAGTCAGTAAAAGAAGAAAGGAAGTGGTCTATGTCCCTCCTGATACTGTATACAAAACTGTGTGCTTGTGGGCTGGGGCTCAGTTGTAGAGGACTTGCCTAGCATGCACACAGTCCTGGCTGGGTTCATTTTCAAGTGCTACATATACAAAGAAGTGTACTTGTGCGTTCGCCTGGGAAGGGGCTCTGCAATTCTCTTCAGCTACTCAGTGAAGCCCATGATCCAATTTTTATACATGAAAGGAAGCTACAAAGCATTGTCTATGCTTTGCCCCACTAACATGTACACTCACTGTGAATCCTGGTCATGGAATAAGAAAAGATGTGGAGGAGTCAGATCTGAGTTCCAGGCATTCCCCCTTCTTCAGCAAGTCATTCAACCTCAGCACTCTCCCCACTAGAAGACAGGTTCAAATCATACAAGCTTTAAGCACCCAATTAATCTAATTTAATCAATGGTTCTGTTGATATGTTTCCTCCGCTTCCCTTCAAGAAACAAAAGGTCACATCACTGGAAACTGCCTTGAAAACCTTACATCTGAGACTAGATCCTGGTATAAAGAGCACTTACTTGTAATGTGGCCCATTGGAGTACAAGATGCGTCCTATAAGGCGTTAGCTTTGAAGATGGCGAAACAGGTGGAACTGAAAGCTGGGCATTTTCTAGCTGATCTGCAAATGCTGAAGCTAACGTGTTACAAGGCAGAAGAGCTCACGTGTAAATTCACTAATGAGCCTAAATCCTTTAGCTGAGTGTGGCAACTTCCTCCAACTCCCTCTCTTTATGTATTTGAGTGTAGATATGTAGTGGGATGAGCACACACACTAATTAGCTCTTTTTAATTTTCTTGCTTCCTCATTATTGCTAATGAGGAATAAAGGATTAAAAACATAAAGGGCAAAGAAGGAAGGGCAAAAGAGAAGTCAAAAGCTGTTTCCTGCCTAATTGGATCATCAGGTTTAAGAGAGAATCGCCAGCCTTCCGGTGTCTCATTTGAAGTAAATCAGAGCCCAGCTAAAGGGCTGCAAAGCAAACTTCCCTAAAGGCCAGAGTTCTCAGGAGTCCCAATCACATGAAAGAGCCAAACCCAGACCAATTTGCAAAGACAAAGACAAATGGAGACATAAGTTTTCCTCACCTTTATTTTAGAAAGAGTATAATGATCTACGAGAGTGGCTGCAATCACTTAAGACAATCCATAAAAGAAGTTTTCAATGACAGGAAAAGTGATAAACATACTTGATAAGCTGCTTAGCTATAGCTTGACATTTATTTGGGAAGTACTAGATATTTATGCAACAGATACCATAGCACATTTACTAGGATGGGAAGGAGGGAAAGAAGGGAGAGAGGAGAGAGAGAGGGAGAGGAAGAGAGGGTAAGAGAGGGAGGGGGAGAGAGGGAGGGAGAGAGGGGGGAAGAGAGAAGGGAAGAGAAAGAGAGGGAGAGGGAGAAGAATAGGGAGAGATTGAAGGGAAAAGAGGAGAAAAAGAGGAAGAAATGGAGGGAGAGAAGAAACTCAAAGTGTGACAGAGGAGAAACAATGATCTCTGTGTAAGACACTACAGGTTCTGTGGAAAGCACTAGGGCCCCCCAAATTCATGTCAAAGTTCTATCACCCAGTATTTCAGAATGTTAATATATTTGAAGACTGGGGATTAAAGGGGAGATTAAGATAAAAACAGGCTATTAAAATGGGCTCTGATCCAATATGATAGACTTTTAAAATAAAAGTTGGCCATACCAAGAAATCCTATGAGAAAGAAACAAGATGGCTGTCATCTTCACGCTATAGAAAGAGGCAGAAGAAGTCAATCCTGCTGGCATCTTTACCTTGGACACAGTAATTGCACTTTGCCTCAAAAGTTTCTACAGAGATTAACTAAATCCGTTCATGTATAACAGCTACAACACCTGGCACAAAATAAACACTCAACAATTGGTAGCTGATAATGGTGCCCCTGTAGTTACTGATAACAGGCAGAGGAGAACATCAGGAGACCCAGAGACCCAGTGACACTCCCACTTTGTTACACAATTGGCACAACAATAGTGGCTCAATGAAAACCTTACCAGCTGCTTCCTAAACGCCCTTGGGGTGTGACCAAGCCCCTCAGGGTCTTTATTCACCTGTTGGTTCATTGGTAGTCTTAACTTGTACCACATATTCAGGGACATGACAAAGTTCCACTGTGGCAAGGTTCCACTAGGAATGGAACTGCAGGTGGCAGAAGCTGTTTGGCCAGAGTTTTGGGCTGGCCACATTCAAACTCAGAATCACTGGCTCCACTAGGGTAGGGAGTGCTTTTTGTGAGGTGCTCCCAATCCCTGCACCAGTCCTGGTATCTGAGAGAGCTGGGGAAAATCAAGACAGCAAGTTCTCTGTCTACCTGACCTCACAATCTTCTGAGAGTTGGAATGATGTGAGCAGAGAGATGAGATAAGAGAGCAGTGTGTCCTCACCTCAGCCTCAGGAGTTCCTGAAATAGACAAGTGGCAGCTTGTGCCTCCCAGTCCTAAGCCAGGACCAGTAAGAGCAGTGGGATAGGAAAGTAGCTATTTTTTTTAATAATCTTTTTTTTTTAAATATTTTATTTTACTTAAGTTTTTCCTTTTATGTGTATGAATGTTTGTGTGCATGTATGATAAGTGTACCGTGTGCATTCAGGGCACACAGAGGGCAGGAAGAGCATTAGATCCCCTGAAATTGGACCGTCAGTTGTTAGCCACTATGTGGGTGCTGGGAACCAAACCTGGCTCCACTGCAAGAGCAGCCAGTGTTCATAACTGCTAAGCCATCTCTCCACCCCAAGTAGCTATTTGTTAAAGTACATTATTTATTTTGTCAATTTGGCTTATTTGCACAAGTCTGTGACACAGAATGTCCTTTCCTATGAGGACCAAGGAAAGAGTACTTTTTTAAAAGTTGGTGGTGTTTATTTGGTGCTGGGGAAACAATCCAGTGTTTATATACACAAAATATGTGTTTGTCCATCGAGCTACACCTAGAGCTCCAGGGTAGGAGTTCTGATTCTATACTTTAGCAGATAAAGTCAAGTCAATCATATTACGGGGGATACATAAGAGAGAGCAATGATGCCTATGGGGCAACCTATGTCTGCCTGGTCATGCCATCTTAAGAGGGAACACTGAACAGAGTGAATCTTGCCTATTAAGTCAGAAACAGTACTTCCCGCTATCCTCACTTCATGAGCCCAAATGGTCCACGTCGAATGTGCCTCAGGCTTCTTGGAGGAAGGCCCTAGGCCATCTAAGCTACCATCTAAATAGATTCAGATACAGTAAATCTGATGTGGGACCTGAAACCCCATATTTCTAATAAACAGCACCCAGGAGATGCTAGTCTTCAGAACAGACTTTGGATTGTATACTTAGAATACCTGAGTTATGAATGCCTAATACATGATCTCTTGGAATGGTCTGAGGAGCGCTGCTTTGACATCACTTGGGGGTTTGCTACAAGTGTGTATTCCCTGCTATCATCCTAGACCCTGTCAATTGGTTATTTTATGGGTGTGGCCTGGCAAGGCTCTCTGCTTGTTTCTTTGTTTTATGGTGCTATGGATGGCACCCAGCATCTTGAACATACTAAGCAGGCACTCTAGCACTGTGCTATAGCCCCAGTCTAGTTAGATAAGCCCAAAGCAGAGTGAGGGTTCAAAATCAATGCTTTAGACATACTTTCCCTATTAAGTTATTTTTTAAATTTTATTTAGTTTATGTGTCTGAGTATATTGCCTGAATGTGTAAGTGCACCCATGTTGTGCGATGCCCATGGAGGTCAGAAGAGGGTGTTGGATCCCCTGGAACTGGAGTTAAGGATGGTTGTTAGCTGCCATGTGGGTGCTGGGAGCCAAACCTTGGTCCCCTGCAAGAGCAGTCAGGGATCTTAACTGCTGAGCCATCTCTCCAGCCCATCTTTTAATTTCTATCATTGTATCGTATACATCTAGAAAACAACAACCATCATAAGAGTATTCAGGAATATCTATGGAAAGGAGCTGATGCTCGTTACATCCTTCAAAAGGAGGACTATACAGCGTGGTTTTAGGAGAGGCTAGACTCTGGTCCTAACTGTCACAATTTATGTGACATCCTGAATGTCTGTTTCTTCCTCTGTGAAACAAGAGGCCACAGTACTTGCCCTGTCTAGCAACCTCACAAAACTATCATGTCAAAAGAGCTTGTCAATTATAAAATTCTATCCAGAAGGATTATCATTTCAAGACTTAAACTATGATCTTCATCTATGATGCAAATTTAAGTCATCAAAGTACCCATAATACCCAGTTTTACAGGTCATTTCTTTCCCTGGACTTTCTAAAAATGGCCTGATAAGTTCTTGGCAGCACCATATGAAGGAGTCTGAGAACAGTGTACTATAGCCTCTCAGGCTTGTAGCTCCTGCCTCCTCTGAAGTGGAAGGCGGAGTAGGTGATCCACTTTGCCAGTGGATTTGAGTAGATGAAGAAGAAATACAATTCTTGTTCAAAGGAGACCTTAGTAAAGTGGACAGGTTTTACAGGCCCCTAGCATATTATTCTAGATCAGTGGTGTTCACTGTACAAAAGACCCCCTTAAAATATCTGGAAGCCACTCTGTCTAAATTTGGGTCCTTAGTCCCATTTCTTTCTATCAAGTTTGTCTAAGAGTCTTAATACCAATTTTAGTTTGCTGTGGTTCTGATCTAAATCCTTACTGGAACCCCAGAGTTCTAACAAATTACTCCAACCCCAACAAGCCTCTATTGACTTCAGACATGACTGTATCAAACTTATTAACATATACAAATTAAAATTACATGACTATACAGGCAAAGAATTAGGATAAGCCCTGAACCACAAAGGAGTGAGCATATCTGATTTGGATGCTGCTGATTCATTTCTAGAAAAGTGTACTTACCAGCCGTGTATTTACCACAGGAAACAGCAGTGCCAGAAGAGCTCCATTCAACATGTGCATCTGTAATCTAGAGAGGAAAGAAGATCAATAGGTCACAAAGTAGAAAAAAATGTATGAGATTAAAGTAGGCCATGTGGGAGAAGACTATATAAGTGGCTCTGTGTAAAACAGCCCTGGAGTTAACCCACATGCAAAATAAATTAAAAGCAGAATGTTGTGTATATTTTAACTGAAACTTTCTGAAAAGCACCATCACTGCCTTAGAATCCCCAGAACATTTCCTGAGCACATTTTGGTCACTGCATTTCATTATACGAGTATGTGTTCCCTAAGCATTCAGTCAGCACCAACCAATGGCTCTAACTGCTGTGGCATTTAAAGAAGGGAACTGTAACAGCTAAGTGTTCCGTTGTTACTATAGAAGCCTCTTTATTAGAACATAGCTGCTTATTTACACAGCCATAGTCAGTCTTTCCTCAGTGACCTGGGCAGAAAAGGGCTGGTACCATCAAGGGACGTAGCTGTGATGGGTGCTGAAAACACCTAGGAGGCAAGCCTCCAGGCACATCTGTGAGGGAGTCTCTAGATTAAGTTTAGACTCTGAGAATATCTGTGAGGAATTTTCTGTAACCTAGAATCGTGAGCCAAATAAACCCTTTTTTCTCCTAAGTTACTTTTATCAAGAAACAGCAACAGGAAGAAAAGGAAAGAAAAATTAAGACGGGAACAAATTTCAATGTGGTACAAACTGTGTTTCCCTGCTATCTTAGCAAGGCCCTTAGTAGCTGCTGTAGGAGGTGTAGAAGAAAATCACGGAAACCCCTGTCCTTTCTCTGATTTATTCTATATGTAGGATTCTGTAGCTTAAACAATAAGTAAGGCTAGGGCCTTCTCTCTGTGGTAGGACTCTTGCCCAGCAAGCATAATGCCCTGGTTCCATTCTTAGTATTATAGAGGAGGGGAAGAGAGGATGGGGAGGGAGAGGAGACAAGGAGGAACATGGAGTAGTGAAAATAGTTCCCAGTCCCAATACCAGACATGATAAGCACACTACACATCCTTCTTAAGGGAAGAACAATTAACTCAGGAACAAATCCTTCTTGTGAAGACTCTGAGGAGGGACTTAAACAGCTTTATTCATCATTCAGGGCAAATGGTTCTTTACTACTGAGGAAAAGGCAAAGAATGACAGTTTGTTGCTCTTGAAGAAAAGCTTATTTGATAGGTTGTGGACAACCACCACTGAGTTGTGCCTCTCAGATACTCAACAGTAAAGACCTTAGCTGAGTAAGACACTAATTGGTATATTCTCTCTCTCTCTCTCTCTCTCTCTCTCTCTCTCTCTCTCTCTAAAAAAAGTGTGTGTGTGTGGTGTCTCTCCCCACCCCCTGGCAGTCCTAGGACACCAGAATATCTTCTATCTTCTATATAGAACAAGCAGGCCAAATGTGAAGAACCTTATGAAACATGTCAGATCTGTGGGCAACATGTGCCCATTATAACTAGGAATGCAGCCCAACACCAAATCATAAATTTACTTAAAAACAAAATGAGTTTTTTTAAAAACTTAATTGTGTGGTTTTTCAAGGGAGAACTTTGTAGATGGCAATGTTGTATCAAAACAAAAGGTTGAACACACCTGTACCTAGACCTTTGGCTCTTCTCTTGGAGCTCACAAAAGTGGATTTAAGAATAAGAGATTTGGCCAAGATCTTTGCAGACTGCCTGAGAGCACCTAAATCAGGCCTCTGCATGGTGTTAAGTAATGGAAGCAACCTAAGTGTCCCTCAACTGAGGAGTGGATAATGAAAATGTGGTACATTTACACAATGGAGTTCTACTCAGTGGTAAAGAAAGACGAAATCATGAAACTTGTAGGTAAATGAATGGAACTAGAAACTGTTATACTAAATGAAGTAACACAGACTCAGAAAAATAAATGATGTATGTTCTCCCTCATTTGTGGATCCTAGCACCAAATACTTATTTGTGAGTATATATCCTGTTGTACCTGCAGGAGCCAGGAAAATGGAAGGGAAACATGGAGGTAAAAGGAAAGGAGTCCAAGAGAGAGGAATAGTAGTAGACAGGTGTTACTTGGGGGGAAATGAGTAAAATGGAGGTATTTTAGGTAGAGGGAGGGTTATACAGGTAACTATGGGGGTAAAGGGGAAGAAGGAGCTTAGGAAAGGGAGAACCATAGGAAACAGGTATCATTAAGGGAGAAATGGGGGTACTTTAACTTGGGAGGGATGGAAGGTTAGATAGGGAGAGAGAAGAGAGAGAGATAAATAATGCCTAGCTGGTGTAAAAAACCAGAGGGAATCATGTTACTTTGAAAAACTACTGAAAAAATATACATATACTATCTCTACATAAGTCCATGTATATAGCTGAAGGCTACATAACAAGAAACAGTGCCGGACAGGAGAAACCTCCCTTTGAGTTGCTCACCAGGGTAGAACAAGAGCCTCCCCAAATTCCACAGGCTGTTGTCACAACCCTTGATTGCCTCCCAGAACTTGAAGGTAAGAACCTACTGCTGAAGATAAGACATACTTTGGACACATGACTCAGAGCAACAGAGACGGAACTGACCTGGAAACCACCTCCCTGAAAGCTAGCTCTCATAATTTTAGAGAACACTATGCAAGCTGCTAAGAAAGAACATCAATCGGTGGTCCAACCCCAGGTTTAAGGCCTAATAACCACAACAATGAACAACACAGCAAGCTATACTGGGGCAGTAGTGGCACTTTTATCTTGTGGGTAATCAACAGCTACCTAATTGGACCTAAAGGAACTCATATGTGGTACTGTAAACATAGCCAAATACACATGGCTGAAGAGGTCATCAATCATAGAGTAAACTCCAAGGCTGTCACATCCCTAGACAAATGCAATTTCTTGCTATGTGCTAAATATAGACCCTTATATTTAAAGACAAGTATGCTAGTCATCACTTATTAAAAAAAGTTTCTTTTGCAACAGATAGAGACTATTACAGAATTCTACAGCTGGTCACCACAGAGATTAAGTGTCTATGAAATGCCCAAACCTGTGTGACACATCTACAATAGAATCTCTACACCTAAGACTCATGGAATATAGTGGAACAAGAGGAAGAGAAAGTACTAATGCATCCCTCAACTCTCATCAACGAAGTTCCTTCATGCTACAGAGGGCAATGAACCCAGGGCTCAGGAACCACTCGGAAGAGGGAGCAGAAAGATTGTAAGGGCCAGGGGAGGAGCTGTGTGAACATATGGAAATCGTCTTCCAGGCTCCTGAGATCTTGCTCGTATGAATTTACAGCAAGGGCAAGAGCACGTACAAGACCCATGCAAACTCAAGCAGACAAAAATCTAGCATAGAACTGTGAAAATTGGCAGCAGGCCCCAATCTTATCTGAAGAACTACTGAGTGGCTGATTACTGCTGGGTGAGGAAGAGCTGATCTTCTTTAGGGGAAATACTCTAGATAGGCTGACTAGACCCTAGTGGATGAACTTGCACTGAGGGATGTGAGGGGACACTAACTTGACTCAATAGGCCTAAACATAAATGATAAGGCATGCAATCCAGTGGAGGGTGCTATGGGAGCAAGCCGAGGAGTATAAAGAGGACTTAAGATGTTGTATATGAAATACACAAAACTTCAATTATAAAAGAGAACTAGGGGCTGGAGAGATGGCTCAGCAGTTAAGAGCACTGACTGTTCTTGCAGAGGACCCAGGTTCAATTCCCAGCACCCACATGGTGGCTATGAACCGTCCTTAACTCCAGTTCCAGGGGAATTCAAAGCCCTCTTCTGACCTCCACGGGATTTCATGACATGAGTGTACTCACATACATGCAGGCAATATACTCATACACATAAAATAAAAAT